TGTGTGGGAGCCCGAACTTTGCGATGATGGTCTACCCGCCAGATCGGGTTTGGCTTCGTCGGCTGTTCTGGTTCCTTCGTGGACGTCCCTTCCACATCTCTCGCGATCACTAGGTTCGACCCCCCTGGGGCCTTGCGTCAGCTGCTGCATCGCCGGCTTCCTCTTCGAGTTTTTCCGGGTTCAATGCCTTGGCGTCTACTCAAGCCCTCACTCGATGTGTTCACGGACGTGTCATCTCTTGGCTGGGGCTTTGTGACTAGTGCCCACTAGGCCGGCCAGGGGTGGTGGGGTCCGTCCTTCCGTCGGGCCCCACAGCACAGTGCAGGAGTTCGCGGCGGTGTGGTATTCGCTTCGGAGGGTTCGGGTCACCCGCGGATCAACGATCCGGCTCCATTCGGACTGCTTCCCGGTAGTTCGATGTGGTCCTTGGCTTTTTGGGGCTGGTCGCTTTGAGTGACTCGTCTGCTGAGTTCTCGGGGTTTGGCTCTCCTGGCTGTTCACGTCCAGGGGGTGTCCAATGTCCTGGCAGATGGCCTGTCCCAGTTCATTCCCCCGTCCACAGATTGGACAGTTGATACTGACTCATTCAGTTGGCTCTGCCAGAAATTCAGGTGCCTGGAGGTGGACCTCTTTGCATTGGCATGGTTGAGGCATCTTCCAATATATGTGGCGCCCTTCCCTGACTGTGAGGCCATTGGGATCGATGCCTGGCAGGACTGGTCAAGGTGGGGGTTCCTGTACCTCTTTTTCCCCGGTTCAGCTATTGCTCCAGGTTCTAGCTCGCTTGGAGACTTACCAGGGGAGAGTTTTCCTCTTGGCCCCACTGTGGCCAGCCCAACCTTGGTTTCAGGCGTTGCTTGCTCGGTGTCCGAACCCGGAGGTTTCCCCCGCGGCTCCGCCACTTTCAGCAGATCGGTCCAGTCCGTTACAAGAATGGTTCGATCTTCTCCTTGAGTCTTTGCATCTGGTCTTTTTGACTCGAGTCTATCACCATCTATATGGTGATCAGGTGGATTCTTAGATAGTATCCCACCTGCATGCTTCGTCTCAGCAGCAGTATGAAGTTTCCTGGCGATCCTTCCAATTCTTTTTGTCTCTCCATTGTTATACTTCACTTTCTGTTAAGGTTGTTTTATCCTTTCTCTCGTGGTTGTTTCAGGACCGTCATCTTATGTTAAATATTATTGCCTCGCACCGTGCAGCATTGGCGGAGCCTCTGCGGCTTGCATTCGGTATTGATGTTACTTCTGCTCCGTTTCGCAAGCTTTCTCATGCGTTGTTTCACCTCCAGCCTACTCATGTGCTGCTTGAGCCATCTTGGTCCTTTGATGGGTTCTCTCTTATCTTTCTTTTCCTCGGTTTGTGGTGGCCCCTTTGGTTCAGGATTGTTTTTCAAAAGCTCTTTTCTTGTTGGCATTGGCCTCTGAGGGTCGGGTCGGGGAACTTCATGCTTTCCTCCGGTGTAGGGGTTTCTTCCCTTTTGGTCAAGGTGATAGGTTTGTTCGGTTGCAGCCTTCTTCTTTTCTGGCAAAGAATGAGACCGCTGCGTTCATGAAGGGTCCTTGGGTTGTTGATGCTTGGTTGGTCTGACTGGGGATGCATCATGTGTTGTGTCCGGTTGCTGCTCCCCACTGTTATTTGTGCGCCATGGCCTCTGTGACCGGGGACACGCTTTGGGTTGATCCGGTTTCCCTTCTTCCCTGTTCCAGGGTTCGGGTCTCTCAGGTCGTCTGCAGGTTTATTTAGTCCAGCCAGCCTGCAATCTGTCCTCGTGCCCATGACGTTCGTAAGTTTGCTGCGCTTGCTGCAGTCTTCGGTAACATGTCTTGGGCTGACATTCAGGCATGGGGTTTTTGGTGGTCGAACAGGGTCCTGGCTGCACACTACCTCGTAAATGTTCCTGGGCCTAGTCGGGCCTGTATCGCTTTGGGTCGGCAGTTGCAACCCGTTGTTTCGACTTCGAGTTGAGGAGCGAGTGCCAACTGCCTCCCGGGTATGTCCCTCTTGTTTTCATCTTTTGTGATGTAGCTCCGGGGAACTAAAGGGGCTCCCCCCAGAAAACCAGCGTTAAATGTAATGAAATGCCATTTTCTGGGTGAGACTCGGAGGGTTCCCGGCAACCATCCCTTCCCCGCTTTGGTGTTTTTTTCGCATGTTTTGACACTTAGCCTCGAACTGACAGGTGGATAGACTGCGCAAGGGGTTTGGGGCTTCCCCTTTCCCCTCCTGGTGGGGGGAAGGGGAAGCTGCACAGACAAGTGGTGCAGCAAGTGTGACGTTATGCTCGTTTTCTCGTTTTTCAATTTGGGGAGTTCTGTACACTTGTACAGAGTGTACTTTCAGTAGTAGTTTTAACCAGAATAATGGTTTGTATTGAGGCGGTTACCTTTCTGGGTGCCCGGCCTGTTCGATGGCAGACATAGAATGCTCCAAACACATGTGCATTTCTATAAGCCATTGCTCCTCGTACCTCTCTGAGGAGGGCCAGGTTCTGGCTCGTGGACCCCAGTAGGCCTAGAACTCCATTCACACTGACTGATGCCAAAGTCTAATAATGTACACTTCAGCCTGGATAGCTCCAGGAAGCCTCCGGGTCTCACCCAGAAAATGGTTTTTCATTACATTCAACACTGGTGTTCCGGGGGGGGGGGCCGTTGGCTCCCCGGAGCATCCAGGCTGAATGGATATGTATAACTTTCTGACATCAGTCAAAGTGCTTTGAGTTCTTGCCTACCGGGGACCACGAGCCAGAACCTGGCCCCCTCAGAGATGCACAAGGAGCAATGGCCTATTGAACTTTTCCCCCCCCCCCCCCACGCCTGTAGTTGGTTGCATTCTTTGTCTACCTTTGACCGAGATAGGCACCCAGAAAGGTAGGCGCCCCAAAACAAACCCTTATTTTGGTGAAATATGGCTACCGAAAAGCTGAACGAGTGGACAGAACTCCTCCAAACAAAATTATCAAACTGGCATGATGTCATCACGTCGCTGCGCTGCCGTGTGTGAAATCCTCCTTTCCCGGGAGGGGGGAAGGGGAAGCCCCAGAACATCCGCGCCAGCGATTCAACCGGCAGTTCTTGGCTGATGTGATTACTGGCTGGTCGATATAGCATGCAACGCCGCAGCCGCCTGCACCTGCTTACCATGACCAGTGGCCTGGGTGAATGAGAGCACGTACAGACAGCACCCATCGCACGACTCCAGGTCAAAAGAACAACGACCCAACAGGCAGCATGGTGGAGGCACAACCTGTGAGTGTCACCCTGAGACAAGGGGACAGATCAACCTTCAAACTCGCAAGACGCGAGGGGGGACGCAGAGGTCACATCCATCGGACCACGGAGCCCCCGTGGGCTTTCCCAGGGCATTTAGCTATGGTTACACGCTAAGGAAAGCCCAGGCAGGGTACTATGAACTGGCGCCCAAGTCTACCAAACAAGCGTCTAAAAACTGAACCCCCGGGATGTGTCCACTCACAGGGGATGTCAAGCTGGAAGTACCACCAAACAGAAAATATAAATATAAAACTCCTAGGACAGCAAAGGGGGACCACAAAAGCAGACCCCCCCCCACCAGGCAAAAACAAAAACAAAAGAAAAACCCCCCCGCAAGAGTACAACATACCCAGGCGGAACAGGGCCGGCCGCTGTTATTGGTGAAAACTAGCTGTGCAGTAACCCGCGCCCCTGCTAGCGACGAAAACTACCTCCTACCCAGAGACAAACAAAGGCAACAAAACCCCAGCTGACTCCAATGGCGGCCCAATACCGTGCAGTAAAGGACACAGCAGAGATAGAACCCAAGGTGACTTGTGGAAGGTGGCCCCAAGCCCCAAAGGCAGTACTTACAGGGCACCTAGGGAAGAGCACCCTAGGCACATGCAGCTCGAGTACCATGGAATCTCCCTCCTGGCTCACACCCCACCGGTAGAGACAGCCCACATCACAAGGCAAAGAATTGAAACCATCCTAAATCCATCCTAAGAACTGCCGGTTGGATCGCCGGCACGGATGGTCTGGGGCTCCCCCCCTTCCCTCTCCCGGGGAGGGGGGGAGTTGCGCAGATGGCGGCGCGGCGACATGATGACATCATGCTAGTTTGATAATTTTGTTTGGGGAGTTCTGTCCTCTTGTTCGGCTTTTCGGTAGCAATATTTCACCAGAATAGGGGTTTGTTTTGGGGCGCCCACCATCCTGGGTGCCTGTCCTGGTCGATGGCAGACATAGAATGCTCCCAACTACAAGGGGGGTTTCTATAGGCCATTGCTCCCCGTGCCTCTCTGAGGGGGCCAGGTTCTGGCTCGTGGCCCCCGGTAGGCAAAAACTCCAAGCACTTTGACTGATGCCAGAAAGTTATACATATCCATTCAGCCTGGATAGCTCCAGGAAGCCTCTGGGACTCGCCCAGAAAATGGCTTTTCATTACATTCAAAGCTGGTTTTTTCAGTTTGTCGCTGATTAAAAGTAAAATGTTTACATTCTTCTTTTCAAAAGATTATTATTCTCTATAGGCTTTATGCTTATTTGCAATAATGTCTTGCACTTCTACCAGATTTCTGGTCTTGGTATTGATATAAAAATTACATAATTAGCCAATCTGAAGTTTTAAACTTTGTGGAGTGATATTATGCATTCAAGTCAAAGCCATATAACTGAAATACAATGAATTGTCCAATCAGAGCAGTACCATTCCTGTTTTCTTGTTTACCATGCCTAGTAAAATATAAATATTCCTTATCTTTACATCCATTGGCAAACATCCCCAACAAATTAATAGTATTGCTCAATTCAGGTGGTTAATAGTCTCAGATGAAGATCATGTTGAGTGAGAATAAAGAAGTGAGCCATAAAGCACGGGTGAAAGTACAGTACTGGTACTGTACTTGTGTTTAGTGACACATGTAGTATTATGTACAATGTTTATGGAAAGTGAAACATTTTTATGCTGATTGAGCTCATATTTTGACATTCCATAATAATGAAAGAATGTTTTGATGGCAGGTCCCTGGACGTATATTACGTTGCTGGCCAACTGCCCATGGGTCATCATACTGCAAGACCTTAGTCTTGGCTTCTTCTATGGCACCTTTATGACATTCCTCCACTTTTTAACTTACTTATATTTAGAGGTAAGTCATACACCGACACCAATATCTTAGCTTTGAAGAGGCTTTACTAATAGACATAATGTCACATGTTTGTGGTTATACATTCTTGTATGCTCATAAATATATATTATTTAAAGAATACATATTTATGGTTCATGTATAAATAGTTAAACAATGGCATGAAATTACACATAAAGTAAAAGTTTGGTATTTTGGATTCCGGTAACACAAATTACTGAGTAATCCAAATCATTTCATGTTTGAGTTTTTTACCTTTTCTGTGGGGTTCCCCTATGGCTCTATAGAAACCCCCCATGTGGTTGGGGGCATTCCATGTCTACCATCGACCAGAGTTGGCACCCAGAAAGGTAGGCATGTAACAAAATAAATCCCCACTTGGTAAGAAAATGCAACATCCAGAACAGGGAGGCAGAGCTCCAACAACTTAAGGAAACGAACAAACAAGCAAACGTCACACTTCACCACCACCCTGTCTGTCCATGCAGCTCCCCCCCTTCGCCCCCCCTGCACCGCCTGTCCGTGCAGCTCCCTCCCCCACGCCGCCTACCAAGCCATCCAGTTCGTTGGCTAAAGCGGTTCTGTGGGTGTTTACCCTGCTTGGGCTTTGTGTCTTCTGGGCAGGGGGGGTTTTCTCGGGGAAGCCCCGTCGGCTCCCTGGAGCTATCCAGGCTGATATGCTAATGTCAGAGTTTGGCATCAGTATGTGTATGGAGTTCTGTAGGCCTACCGGGGACCACGAGCCAGAACCTGGCCCCCTTACAGAGGCATGAGGAGCAATGGCCTATAGAAACCCCCGTGTAGTTGGAAGCATTCTTATGTCTGCCATCGACCGGGTTAGGCACCCAGAAAGGTAAGCGTTCCAAAACAAACCCCTGTTCTGGTGAAAATTGCTACAAAAAGCCAAACAAGTTGATAGAACTTTCCAAACAGAAACGAGCAAACGAGTATGATGTCACACGTCGCCGCGCCGCCGTCTGCGCAGCTTCCCCCTCCCCTGGAGGGGAAAGGAGGAGCCCCAGACCCGGTGGTTGGAACGTGCTAGGTTGTTTGCTCCCTGGAAGCCCTGAGGCTGCCTCGTTTTGGTTGTTGTAATTACCTAAGTGTAATTACCTAAGTGTAGTTACAGGATGAGAGCTATGCTCGTGGTGTCCCGTCTACCCAGCACTCTTTGTCATATAATGCTTTGAAACTATTTGTGTACACCATCCATAACAAAACAAACTCCCACGGCGCATGCACAGGACGCATGAGGTCCGAACCGCACAACCCGCCTGGCGGGGAGGGCGCCAACTAGGGGTATGTAAGGAACATTAGCAGTGCCTAGAGGCCACTTGTGATGGGGCTTGGGGGTGTTGGTCGCTTTGGTTTTGTTTCTGTCCGTGCCCCCCTGTCTTTTCCCTGTTGTGGTTTCGTCCGGTCCCCCCCCCCCTTCCTCCCTGCATCTGGATCCTCACCGTCTGTGGGTTCGGGGTCAGGGCAGGGATTCGAGGGTCTTGAGACTCGGGAGGTCTCGGGGATTTTCCCTTCCGGGGTTGTGACGGAGGCATTCGAGCCTGTTTCACCAGCCGTGTTGTATGAGTCTGCCAGTGGGCTCCCTTCCTTAGTATTTATCCGGCTGCTCCGGCTATTTCTTGTGAGGCTGGGGGACGACTCGGCCCGAGGGCCTGCCGTGGAGGTTCCTGGAACTGGGGAGGGGCTGACTTGGGGGACATCGGGTCTCATTGGGAACCCGCCGTGGTTTTTCTCCCTTCTGAGATGGGCTTGCGGTTGCCGGGAGTGGGGTTTTTCCTTTCCCTCCCTCTGCATACAAGCTGTTGGGCATCGGCCCTTCCCTGGGTTTGGTTCCTTGTCCCTTCAGGTCCGTTGGTTCCGTCCTAGCAGTGGGTACTCTTCTCCATTTTCTCACCCATCTTCTCTGGGACTGGACTTCTCCGTCATGTCGGGGGTCATGTTCCCCTCGTATCGGTGTTCTGCGTGACCTTTGGTCTCGGGTGCGACTGTGCCTTTATGAGGCTTCGTGATTTTGTGCTTGCTTCTGCAGGATCTCGATGGTTCGGGAAGGTCTTCGATTCTTCCCATATTATTGGAACGTCTGTCATATTCCGGTGAGGCTTACCTCCAGTCTTTTCTAGGACTCATTGGTTCTCTTCCGTGCTTCTTCTTGGTTTTCGGTCTCGTTCTTTTGTAATTATATCTTCTCTCCGTGCTCTGTCTCGGCACTGCTAATGTTCCTTACATACTCCTAGTTGGCGCCCTCCTCGCCGGGCGGGTTGTGCGGTTCGGTCCTCATGCGTCCTGTGCATGTGCCATGGGAGTTTGTTTTGTTATGGATGGTGTGCACAAGTGTTGGTGTTCCACGTCCTTTTTCTCTCAGCTGCTTTGCCACTCACACCCCTAATATCTCTCCACTCCAGGCCCAGTAGATACTGGGGGTGTTCTGGATTACCAGTATGGGGAAGATGTCTAGTTTTTCTCTGCATACGGGTGTGGGGCTCCGCATTCGCCTCTACCCTTCTCTTCTCCTGCATGTGAGGATCCTTCTTCCACTCGCGGTGCTCCCGGAATATTCTCGGCTCTGATGTGTCGTGACACGTTCGTGCCTACGCTCTACAGGTGAGTTTATGCAGTCGGGCGTTTTCTTTCGGCCAGGCGCTGGTTCGTGGTTTTTGGATGAGTGTTGGGAGTTGGTTGTGGCATTTTGTTTGGCCCATTGCGTGCTTCTTCCTGTGGCCTTCCTTGTTCTTCTGTGTTCTTTGTTACACTGTGGGGCATGGCCCCGTCTTTCGTGGTCTTATTTTGGACACTCATTCCTTGACCGTCCTGCAGTGCCTGGCTGAGCCCCTCCATATACATTTATTTCTCTGTACTCACATACTTATGCTCACCTATTTGTGCTTGTGAGGGTTGAGCTCTGGCTCTTTGGTCCCGCCTCTCAATTGTCAATCACCTGGTGTACAGGTTCCTTCCTGGGATCTGTGTGTAGTAGGTCATGTCCCCTTCGTTCCCGATTGCTGCCTATCTTCTTCGTTCCTCATCTTCCTTCTACAGTCTTGTCCCTAGCTGCTGAGGCTTGGGCTGTTTTTCCTGGTCTTTTTCTTCCATCTTTTCCATTTTTTTTCTCATTTTCTCCTACACATTGTTGTGTGTTTTAGTACTGTATATGCTTCTTGACTCTACTAATGCTAGGTTGGTCTTTGTCCATGCTAAGTTCCCTGCTTTTGTACCTGTGTCCTGAGTTTTCATCTTCCCCTTGTTTGGCGCTTTCAGCTTCGGGTTGCCCTGTATGCACGTGAATGTGGCTTCCGTTCTTCCTCTCCTGTCCCTGCAGTTTCTTTTCTTTGCGCCGGGTGGTGCTAGGTTTCCGGCCCTGGCTCCGGCCTTTTTCTTTGTTGTTCTTTTTCGGGCGGTACGTTTTTGTTTTAGTGCTGATCACATCCTGGTTTGTTTTCATCCCTTCCTCGGTATTACGTGCTTCGTTCTGCACTGCTGGGGCTGTGTTTGCCGCTCCTGTGGGTTGTGGTGTCCCTGCTTTTCGCTTTGCGTTTCACTTCGTGGTGCTCGCTTCCTCGTTGGCCTCGGCCTGGGCCCTGGCTCTTTGTTTTTCATTCCAAATTTTGTCCTTGCTGTTTATGGCATCTGTGTTTCGGCGTTTTTTCTGCTGGCGGCTTCTAGTTGTCATCCATTGTCGGACTTGTTGGTCCTTCACGGGTCCTGGGGCATTCCTCCCAGACGGGGCATTTCTGCTTGCCCCAGGTTGGTTCTTTCCTAGCTTGTCAGGTTTGGGTTTCTGGTTTCCATGGCTTGCCCTGCCAGTTGGCATTTTCCTGATCTCGCGGTGTACCTTCTCTAGAGTCTCACATCGGAACCACAGTATTTCTGATCTCCTGGCGAGCTCGCTAGTATTGGGAAGTTTCTATACAACAGATGTTCCATCTGGTTCCATCTGGTTCCTTGCCAGCTTCGGTTTCCGGCTCTGCTTGCTCGGTGTTCGCACCCAAGGTTTTCCCGCGGCTCCGCCTCTTCCTATGCTTGATCGGTCCATGGCGGAACTGGTTCAGTTCTGCCTCGAGTCTCTCACTATATGTTGGTGATCAGGTTGCTTCGTTGATGGTGTCCCACCTGTGTGTTTTGTCTCGGCGGTGGTGCAGGTAATTTGCAGCGGTTTTTGTCCTTTAGTAGGTTTGCTGCATTTGGTGGCATGGTCTTGTCCTTCGCTTGTGGAGGTTCAGGGCCATCATCTTGCCACATACTGTCGCCTTGTCTCGTGCAGTGCTGGCGGAACCGCTCCGGGTGGCTTCGGTTTTGGCGTTACCTCTGCACCAATTCGCGAGCGGTCTCTGGCGTGATTCACCTCTGGCCTGCTCTTGCGCCGCTTGAGCCGTCCTGGTTCTTGGATTGGGTGCTTTCTTCTCTTCTCCTCGGTTTGTTGTGGCCCCTTTGGTTCTGGATTGTTTCTGAGGCTCTTTTCTTGTTGGCGTTGGCCTCTGGAGGGTCGGGTCAGGGTGCTTCATGCTCTCCTCCGGCACCTGGGTTTTGGCTCTTTTGGTTCTCCTGATGGGTTTGTTCGCTTGTAGCTGTCTCCTCCTTTTCTGGCGAAGACTAACACGGCTGCTTTCCGGAGCGGTCCTTGGGTTGTTGATGCTTGGTTGGTTTGGCTAGGGGTGTATCGTGTGTTGTGTTCTGTTGCGGCGACTCGCCGTTCTTTGCGTGCCACAGCTGCCGTGACCAGGGTCACGCTTTGGGTTGTTCCAGTTTCCTTCCCTGTTCCAGGGTATGGTTCTCTCGGGTCATTCGTGGGGTGGTTCGGTCCTGCCAGCCTGCTGTCTATCCCCATGCCCAAGTCGTTCGTAGGTTGGCTATGTGTTCCTTCGTTGATGTTCCTGGGCCTTGTCGGGCCTGTGTGGCCTTGGGTTGGCAGTTGCAGTGTTTTGTCTCCGCTTCATGTTAGAGAGTGAGCGACTTCTGCCTCCCAGGTTAGGTCCCTCTTGTTTTCGTCTTTG